TATATATAAAGAATACAAAAGGATCAATTTCTGCATGTTTTAGGGCATTAAACAATTTCTGCATATAAGTAAAGTGTTTGATTTAATAATATTTGAATATGTACGGGCCCTGTCGCTCACTCAAAAAAAAAAAAAATTGAACATGTTATAAGCAAAAGTGAAGTACCTTGCTCCTGTGCAGAGTTGAGGTTTTCACCAGATGTCCGCTTTAGGGATGCGAGAGATATGGGGCTGGTATTCCCCTTTGCAGCGATTTGAAATAACTGGCGACAGAGAAATTTCCAAATTCTGGAGGGTAGTACTTTGGAGAATAGAATCCGGCAACATCTTTAACTTCTCACATCCATGAATCTCCAAGGAAGAAAGACGTGGCATGATTTTGATATCCTCTTCTCCTCTGCTTCCATAATCCCACTCTTCCCACCCCTCCATATATCTAAATATCAGTGATTTTAAATTGGGGAAGGCAACAACAGCTGATGAAGAAGAAGATGGAGACAAAGATGACGTTTCTATTCCCAAGAATTCAACTCCCACCTTTTTCACTCCTCCAATTTGCCACAGACGAAGCGATTCTAGTGATGGCAATTTCCACAAAGGAGGCAACTGTTCAACGTCGACACAATTACTGAGCCCAAAGAACTTCAGCTTGGTTAGAGACACTATCCAACTGGGCCAAACCCCTAAGGTTGGGGTTAGGCATTTGTAGGCCCCTATTAGTAACCTTTCCAAGTCTAAAGGTGGTTCTAAGGCTTCAAGAACAAGAACAGATGCTTCAGAAACTTTGCTTTTATCAAAGAAAGTCCAACCAATAATTAGAACCAAAGAAGTGAGCCCTTTCTTATTTCGTAACTGTGCCTTCTCAGCCTCTCTCTCATCTCTGACATTTCCCAATCCTCTTATCTCAAGCTCCCCTCGAAGGTGAATCAAGTTTCCCAATTCACTAAGAGCAGCTCCTTTACCACCACTGCCCACCACAAACTCACTTAATGTTCGTAAACAAGTCAATTTCTCCATTCCTTTAGGCATGAATTCCACACAATCTGTACACTCATTCCGAAGATGCCACAAATTTATTAGATTTCCCATTCTACAAGGCAAACTTCTAAGCTTCCTACATCCACTAATGTCTAGTATAAACAAATTGTATAAATCACAAACTGCATCAGGCAATTCCTCTAGAAACCTATTATTTGACAAGTCAAGAGACCTTAAATGTATCAAATTCCCTATCTGTTTTGGACATTTCTTAATTCTTTCA